CCCCCCCCCCCCCCCCCCCCCCCAGCTGCATGGCCCCAACAGCTCCCCCAGGGCTGGAATCTGCACCTGTGTTACAGTTGGGGGGGCATGGAGAAGTAGCACTGGTACAGGCACAGCTAGAGGCTGCATGGCTCCAAAACAGCTCCCTCTGTCTAAACTGTGGGCACAAGCAGCAAAGAAGGAAAGTGGCTGGGGAGCCATGAACCTTGGACAGCCTAGGCAGGATGGCGATCGCCCCAGGATATTTAGCCGAAAGGATCTAGGAGAAACAGCTACATGGGACTTCTGCAAACACCAAGAACATTTTAGTGGTGTAGAGTCCACCCTTCCAGCCATTCAGGTTTCCTTTCCCCACAAATTTATTCATAGCATGAAACCACAAAAGCTTATTTACTCGTTATGACCATGTCCTTATGTCCACTGGGAGTAGTATGTCTCCCTTTCTATTTTTACACCTCATCTTTAATCCTCTCAACATTACAGGGGTGTAGGTTGTAGCCGTGTTGGTCTAAGGACATAGGCAGACAAGGTTCTTTGGGTGAATCTGGTATCTTTTATTAGACCAACTGAAATAGTTGGAGAACAAGTTTTCAGCAAGCTTTTGGGTTCAAAAACCCTTTGTCAGGCTAAGGAAGTTTCAGCAGTTGATGTCTGCTCTTCCTGGATGGAATAAGAGCACACATCAACTGCTGAAACTTCCTTAGCCTGATGAAGGGTTTTTGAATCCGAAAGCTTGCTTAAAACTTGTTCTCCAACTATTTCAGTTGGTCTAATAAGAGATATCAGATTCACCCAAAGAACCTAGTCTGCCTATATCCTCTCAATGTAACACTTTTCCACATAAACAACCATTTCTTCCTAGTGTTGCCCACTTCTTGGTTTATTAACACCCCAAAACCTGCTGTCTGCTACAAAAGCACAACTGGAAACATAGAAGAGATGCTATCTGTATGCACCACCTGTAAGTATTAGAGATGCAACATACCAAAATAATACTGAAAAGGTAACATACTATCCTTGACTCCTATGATAAATACAAGCAGAGAATCAATGCAGAGAAACCTCCTATATGCAGGGATGGGGGAGGTGGGGGGTACAGTGGTACAGATGCACACCCCTTCTGCTGCCACCACCAGTGTTCCTGGCTGATGTGGGAAGAGAAAGACCCTGAACTGCTCCAGGCCTGGTGCAGCCAAAGGATGCATCTCTGTGTATATATGTATGGAGGGAGGGGGGACCAAGCTTGGCAGAGGACAGTAGTAGCAGCGTGCAGCTTCCACCTTCCAGTGCCTGCTCTCCATCTGCCCCTCTCCACAGATGTCCCTGGAAGCAGGCACTAGAAGAAGGAACCTGCATGCTGCTGTCCCTGTCCCAGGCACTGAGGGATGCCCAGACCTACTCCTAACCCACTCATTTCCTGCATTGCAGGGCAAGGCTGTACAGGAGCCAGGCTTGACTGGGGACAGTGCCACACATATTCCTCCTTCTAGTGTCTGCTTCCAGCCAGCAAGGGACAATAGGGAGGGTGGGGGAGGCAGACTGGAAGCAGGGGCTTGAAGGAGGAACCTGCATACTACTGCAGCTGCTTCACAGAGAAAAATAAATACAACTGTACTTTACTTAGGTCTCAGTAATGAACTAGCAGGACATGTCTGTGTATATATGACCATGCTATAATCAAACATCTGATACCTTAGCTGTTTCAGGAATTCAATGTCAGCGTTGCTGTTGATAAGTTTGATGAATTCCTCATAGGAAGGAGCATATGTGTAGTCTTTCTTGTGATGCTCATTCACCTGTTCTCTGTACTCCATCTGGCTGAGCAGCATTTGGTTGATGTAGTCTGGATCACTCAGCAATTCTACCACAGGCTTCAGTACTGGGATAGGAAAGATTTGAAAAAAACAATCTTTATGCACAGGAGTGAATTGTCATCTGTAAACTCAAAGCACAAAGCAGTGCCACATGTTTATACATATTAAAACCATGGAGATCAATATAATTCCAGGTAATTATACTCCCAAATTACACAGACTAAAATTTACCTTTGTCATACACTTGGTATGTTCATTATTGTTACTGTAAACCATCACCAAGATTAACCTGAAGTCCCATTTTTTCCACAGGCTCATACAAATTAAAAGAAGAGGAACCCAAACTGCATTCTTTCACAAGCTTGTTTCTGGGTTATTTCTCTCACACTCTGTTATATTATGAGGTCTTGGAAAATGAAGAACTGCTAATTAAAGATATTCTTTAATACATGAGGATTATTTAGGTCTAATCTCAAAATTCTGTCCCCATTTCCAAATTAAAGTATAAAGCAATTAGTGGTTTCATCATGAAACACTACTTCTAATTAGATAAGATGAACAAGCAAAGTAGGAAACCCGCAATAAAACAAACTCAAAAGAATAAATCACTATCTGCTACTTAATGTGTGACTTCCTAGCATCATTCAATCACATTCACATCTTTCGATCAGTATTTGGCACGTCTGTACAACACATATAATACCAGGGCAAGCCAAGTCATTTAATTATAAAATGCTAAAGACTAAGTTTCACTTATGCTATAATGAAAGGATGGAAAGGCAAACCAGATACCATCTGCTAAGAAGCTCTCCTGCAACAGAGCTAGAGTGCTTATGCTCATGCTTAATTCTGGGCAGGTGACTGGTCCCATTAATTTTATGTGCTCAGAGTTAAATGAAATAGTTTTCGTTAAGCACAGAGAGTGCTCACTGCCTTACAGAATCACGTCCTTAATTTTCTAATGATATGAACAGAAGTTTCCCAAGCATGTTCATGAAACACTAAGGCCTTAAACCAATGTAATGTTAAACACCTTTAAAGGGAGAGGCGAACTAGCCACTGGGGAGCACACTCATCAGCTGAATGGAGGATTAAAGTTACAGGGTTTTCACTCCACCTATGCTGCTTTAAAAAAAAAACACAATTGACATTTATATTGGAATATCTTCTACTGATAATAATGTAATTCCAAAAATATATCATATTTTCTTACATAACATATGCCCTCAAATAAGATGCACACCCTTGTTTTTGGAAGGCAGAACACAGAAAAACAGATTTTTCCAGACTCATGGACCAGAGCTGGCTTTTTCATAAAGACACTGTGCTCCAAGGTAGCCACCAGCTTGAAGCAGTGTCTTCCTGCTTCACATTCCTGCATGCTTCTATTCTGGCCTTCCTACTTAAGACATGCACAGCAATTTTAGAGACCAATTTGGAAGACAGGGTGGGGGGCGACGAAGGGGGGATGGAAGAAGATTCATGTGGTATGCAAGGAAATATGGTAACAGTTACATCTATCCCCACCCTATCTATACCAGTCTCTGTGCACGCAGGCTGTGATAGAAATTTAAAGTTTAGAGTTTAAAAGCATAATATCAATGCAGATCTATTAAAGGGTTTGAAAATTATTAGCATTGTATATATGCAAGTCTTTAGTCATCTCTGATCCATAATCTACCTTTTGTTGCAAGTATTTCTGCAAGGACTATGCGCAAGCTGAGAGACTGGGCATCCTTTGAGGGTAGGAGGCAACACACCAGAATTTGAGAACATTTTTGCAGGAATCTTACTTCTTCATCAGAGTTCCTCAGGCATGGGTGCAATAAAAAAGGTCTTGGCTGCTCTTCCTGCCTAGAAACAAAAGGAGAAAAAAGAAAGAAAAAAAAAACAAGCCGTATTTTAGTTCTCTTCATAGTACTGGCTTTAGTTACCAGTATTAAAAGAGCAAATATGAGAAATCCATCATCAGATACAGTCTTCAAAGAAAAAAAATTAAATAGAAACTATTCTTCTAATTATGTGAAGTCAAGAAGACATTTTCCCCATTTCAGTCCACTATTCTATCCTCTCTGTATACCTACTAAGCTAGAAATATTATTTTTAAATCCATATCCATATAAAATAAGCTGTCAAGTATCAGAGCAAGCCCTCAAGGGTAAAGATCAAATATAGGAATCCCTGACATAACTCTTCCTGTGACACACAATGAAACTTAATTTATTCAAACAAATGACAAGACATGAATAGGTACATATGAATCCATTTTTATCCTTCTCATAAAAACAAAGAACAAAAGGTAGGTTGAAAACAAACAAAAAGATTTGTATATAGTACATTTGGTGTCCTCAGATATCATTAAACCAAAAATAAAGGTCAAAAGCCCACCAGGCTAGGGTGGTTAAGTCATGCCAGTTTCTGTGACCAAAGTGAGGTGCCTAGCATTGCATCCAGTCACCTTTGATCTTCAGCTTGAATAACCAGGTACCTATTTACAGCTCAATCAGCTGGGGGCAGTCTTCAGCACAAGTCCAGAGTAAGAGTCTATTAATCACTCTGGCAATGGTGGTTCCCCACTGAAACCACAGTACAGTAAACATATACAAACTAATTAAACATTACATAAACAGTGAGTAAATCACAGTTGTGCCGATATGATTCTTTTCATTTTAATGAAGTATAAACCCTTATGCAACCAACACTGATGAGAGCTGGAAAGATTTTCCCTATGGACATGTTATTCCATAACTGTCCACTACAGGACTTCTTAGACCTTCCTGCAAAGCATCTGATTTTAGTTTCTTTTAGGGATGCAAGAGAAGATTAGACCACGGCTTTGATGAAGAACGGCATTACCTATGATCCTAAATACAAACGTTATTTCCCACTCCTCTCCCATCACACATAGGGGTCTCTTGGACAGAAAGAATACACTAAATGCTCTGTTTGGTGTAGAACAATCTTCTGTAGACTAAAACTTGTGTCTAAGTAACAGCTACAGAAACACTAAAAGATCATTACTGCAGAGAATAGTAATTACTGAATCTCAACTGCAGAATGCACTGTTTTAGGTTGATACAATAATGAAGAAATCCAGTAATCAATTTCTTGATGAAAATAATTTACGATAAGGTGATGAACCCTTCTGACCTTGTTGCACTTCTCTCCAGTCATGGATAATTAGATGTTACGTACCATAGAACAGTAAGAAGCATGACATACATAGTCCTGCAGTTCAGTAAAAAACCTGATTCTTCAAAATTAACCAATTATTGTGAGGTAAAGAAAGATGGAACTTTATATAGTGCTTTTGTTCCTAGGTAACTGCCCATGTATACAGTAAATTAATACTTACATGCAACAACTTGCTCTTCTTTCACTACAATCCTTCATTTATCTGCCTTCATTTATAGCAGAGCTAAAGTGTATGCACAGACGGTTACCACAGAGTAGGTGATGAAGAAAAGAACCCCACCCACACATTCGGTAACTTGCTCATGATCTAACTTAAAGAAACCCTGGTACGGGTCAAGATTTCAATCAAATCACATGGACATCTGTTGGGGAAAGGGTATCCATTCAGAGCCTACTGCTAGTATGGCTGTGAGGACAGGGACCCTGAAGGAACAAAACAGAAAACAAAGCCTATCCCATATGCCTAGATGACCAGGGCTTTAAGCATTTACCCTTTGATCTAATCTACATCAGGCTACATCTACAGATCCTAGCTAACCCATCAATGGTTTCTGTCAGACTAAATGTAATTCATGAAGATAGCAAAATGATAACTGGAAGAGAGAAGCCCTTTTGGCTAACATAAACCACATCTCCATTGGAAAGCTCTGCCAAAATAGCAAAAGCATCAGTGATTCTGTCTTGTAGACAAATCTTTTGTTGCCATGGTTAGGAGCGACTGTCAGAAAATCGCCAAGGAAACCAGCCGTAGCTGGAAACGAATTTTCACAGAGGAAATGCGTAAGTGAGACACCAAGGCAATTGTGTCAAAGTGTGGGGAAGGGGACACGCAAAGGAAAAAATGGGGGAAGGAGGAGAGAATTGCAAAAAATATATATCCTTGAAAGTGTCGTTTTCTATGCATTCCCACAGGATAGTTCCATGGTAGACATTCTCCCCATTCCACTTTCTGACTGGGAACTAAGCTGTCCCACTGCAAGTAGTACCATAGGGTGCATGTGATGGGATAGAGGCAGTGTGATGGGTGAGCAGCTGTCTGTGAGGTTGCAGATTCCCTCAGAGCCAGCCACTCCAGTCAGAATGCAGAGAGCCAGACACCACTTCTGATGCTTTGCTTTGTGACTAGAGTCAGGGCCAGAAGCTGCCTACTGCCAGGCTGGTGGGGACACAGAGCCCAGGTTGGGACAGCAATCAGAGCCCGTTCCAGCAGCAGGTACCTCCTGGGGGCAGCAATGCCCCAGCCCCTGCTCCAATTGCAGATCCAGGGCCAGAAGCTGCCTGCTGGCAGGGCAAAGGGGCATTGTCCCAGTTGGAGTCTGCGATAGGAGCCCACCCCAGCAACCGGCGGCTCCCAGAAGCAGGAAGCAATGTCCCAGATCTCACTCCAATATCAGTCAGGGCCAGGAGCTGCCTGCTGCCAGAGCAGAGGGACATCGTCCCAGCCTGTAGCTGGCCCCAGAAGCAGGGAACTGCCAGAGGGCAGAAAGCAATGTCCCAGCCCCACTCTAGTCACATATCTGAGGCCAGGAATTCCCTGCACAAAAAGAGTTCCCTGCCCAGCCCAGAGTTGGCTGGGATCTGCACCACAACGAGACAGTTCCTGGCCAGACCCAGGATGAGTAGGGAAGGAGCTGGCTGGGCACTCTTCTGTTTCAGGGCAGGTCTCAGTCAGCTCCAGGCTGCATGTGCAGACTTCCCCACTTAGCCCAGGGCTGGCCAGGAACTGTCCTGTTCTGGAGCAGATTCTGGCCAGCCTCGCTAGGTACAGGGCTTGTCCCCATGTGCATGGGGTGAGAGAGCTCTACAGCAGCAGTAGTCCCAGCCTGTGCACATCAGGACCTCTCCCAATGTGTACGGGCTTGGCCAGTAGACACCTGCTGCTGCAGTCAGCAGAGCTCTCCTGACCTAATGCTCCCTGCCATCCCTGCAGGGGACCAAACCAGGGTGGGAGCAAATCTGCTCCCAAGAGGGAACACATGTAGACGTGCTCACTGGTAGGCTTACTGCACAGTATTTTTACTGCACAGTAAGCCTACTTCAAATTAAGACCATGTGTTCCCCAGTCTCTTTACAGAAGTCTAAGGGGAAAAAACTCTTCAGTGGATTTGAGCCTGGATAAGTTCTACACAAGCATCTGTGTACATCAGTGCCAACTTTCCCACAGAGAAAGTAGTTTTCCACCAGTACTGAACCAGACACATCAAGTGGTACTTGACAACAGAAAGGGAAAAGAAATAAAGTATCAGCTGCAAAATACATAAATATGTCAGTGGTAAAACAGACATAGGTAGCAATTAACTGTATGCACATGCAACAACTGTATTACTTTCAAAAGACAGATACAAGCTATTGGGACTGAACTGTTACATTGGCATGATCCTGCAGCAATACAAGTATAGCAAAACCACTCCAACTTTAACTTGGGATTCATCCAGAGTCAAAGTTAGGGTCCAAGTTAGTGACAGTTAATCCCTATGAGCCCTGCTACATGTTCACATTAAAGCTGGATAGAAATCAGCTACAGAGTTGTTACACATTTTTCAAGCACTAACTCTATAGCTGGTTGGCTCTTTTTATAGCTGGATAGTCATTTTTATCATGTGATAATTATTTTGTGCATGTGGCTGATCTAAATTTACTGTGCAGTTTACCAGTTAATTGTGTAATATATGTAACATAGCAGGGGCCTATGGGATCATGCCAGTGTAAAAGTTAGGTCATAATAGTTACTGCATGCTCCTGAGCTGTGGCTTCCTTCCAATCTTCAAAGCAGCTAAAGGGTATTTTTGTCTATACCCAATGTTTCTGGACCCAATCTTCCTCCAAACTCCTGCTGGCAGAGCAGGAATCTTTACTATCTGCTTACCAATAGAATGGCTGGCAATCTCTGCCTCCTTGTCTGATACATACTTGTCCCTTTGGAGAAGCACTATGTACATTTTTTCTTTTGAACAGCTCCGGCACATAATTTACATGATATCCACAGAATGTATTGAAGAACATCTCGAGGCAAGAAAATTAACTGAAGTTTTGGTTTCTTCCAGCCGCCATTCACTATCTAGTCACTAGCTCCTAGACAAATGCACAGTATATCTGAGTAAGGCACGTCTAGCAAACAACACCTCATGTCACCCAAAATCAGTTAGAGCTCTCATCACTAAATGACAATGCTTGACCCCAAAGCATCATTTGAGGGGGGGTTTTCTCTGTAGCTCCTTTACAAGAGTTGTGAGAAAGAATATGGAGAAGGCATGAAGAAGTTCTAATTAAATGGGTTTTTAAGACCAGGGGTGCACCGACAGATTTTTTTGACCAATACTAATGGCCAATTATTAGTGAGCCATATTGGCTGATACTGATCTGATTGTCAATATGCACCCGGGCAGCATGGGGAGCAGCTGGGTCTCCCTCCCCCACTTCAGGGGCCTCAATCTGTTCTCCCCATGCCCCCTTCCCTCACAAAAAACTTACCAGCCAGACCTGGTCGCTCTCCATGCTGCCAGGCTGCGCTACAGCTGCGCACATGCATGGTGCATTTATCAGCCACACTGGCACACCAGCCCAAAAAAAGCCAATTGCCAACACAGTCAATTTGCCTTATATCAGTGCTGATACGATACGGGATCAAAGTATCTGATGTATCCCGATGTAATTGGTTT